TTAAATCACCAAAATCCATACTCTAGTATAACCATTTTCACTTCTAAGAAACTAGATAAGCCCATTCAAAATCATACAAAAATTCACAAGGCATAAAAAATCGTCAATAGTAGATCTGTTTAGGCATCTCCACCATGTTTTGTTGGGGTTTCCATCCTAGATGGATTTGGATTGTTCTTATAATCAAAACTAGAATCTAAGTTTCAGCCATGCTTTATTCAATCTCTAAGCTCTTACATCATGCCTTCAACTCACAAAAGTACATATCCTGTCACATGACAAACATCTACCTTAAGAGCAGACAACTCTGTTTTACTGAGAAGGAAAATATGGGAGATAACTCTTACTTAACAATGATTTTTAAGACCACAATATGAACTAATGATATCAATATGACAATATCTACAAGAGGTCATAACAAACTCCCTTTTTCTCAACTTTTTTCCTAACATTTTAAAATTTTAACTCATTACATTAACACACAATGATTAACCCTTCCTGGCTATTCTTGCAGTGCAAATCCTTCATCACTTGAATAGTAGAGTCGTTCAGACGGGATTACTGTATCAGAAATTGAAATGAAATAAAAAAAACTTGCATCGGGCTGCTCTTTCATTAATGAATTCAATTACATTTTAGAAAAAATCATAATATCAATAGCAACTTACTCACTTGAAGTTACTCAATATATTTGATAAAATGGTTATATTTCCTCTATTCACTATAATATAAATTGGTGATATTGATATTTAATCTTGATAACTGTATTTGAACACCACTCCACTGTAATGTAAATTCAATCAGGAAGTAATATAAAGATAAAGGATATGGGGAAATTACCTTATTATTATACTGTATTGTTCATTTCACACAAAACCATTTATTTTACATGTTCACAATATTGTCTAATTCTAGTCAAAATCTGGAGGACATGTGAAATAACAAAAAAAAAACAAACAGAGAATGGTTAATTAAGACTTTCCGTGATTGGTTTTACATCTTGGTATAAAGACATCCCTATACGCCAATTTATTACGATATGTACAGCTCTAATTCCATGCACGGGCATGTGGCGGAGCGAAATCAACATATACATTACATACTGCGCCTTCCTGTGAATTATAAGTATCCACTGAGGTAAAATTCGACAAAATACAAATACTAATATCTTTAACAAACCAATGTTATTTGATTAATAGTGATGTTATAATATGAGACATAAACAATTCAGATCAGAACGAGTCTTCCCTCTCCCATATACTCTATATCCTAAATATAAAATCACTTGACAGATATCATAAACTAAATACACTGTATATTGTTCATAGTCAATAGATCACATCAATAGACATCTATAAAATATATCATATACACTTTTCAATACACATACATTCTATATCAATTTTAACATAGAAAATAACTATTGTTATCACTACTTACAATTTATTTAAGACAAATCCTAATAGAGTGTTTATTAAGTTGAAAATATTGAATATCTCTATTAAAATACCATCAAGGATGTGCATTATAGCGTAGTAATATCAATTATTGACCTCAATATCAGTGTTCAAACTAAAGGAACAATGGAGTTAAGGAAGTACATAGTTATTGTATGAATACAGAACAGAGAATAGAGGCCTTGATTTATTATCACTAATATTAATTCAAATGACAAGGAAACTATTAAAGTACTATACGTTTAGTCAGATGTATTTCAATTTTATTTCAGTCATAAATATTTCCTTAGTTTTACAGAATTGTTGAATAACAAAATTAGCTCCGACCTAATTTATGTAATTTTACAACTTTTTTGCATATTTATTTATGGGTAAAGAATAAGTTTCTTGCTTTTGGTTTATTTTCAGACACGTACTCATTGATAGTAAATCATTACGGATAAATCCACTAATATAAAAGTGACAAAAGATGGAACGGTTAATTTTGTTCAGATCAACTGTATATCTCGACGACCTCTGATACATTATAGTAGTCGGTTTGTTTATTATTTCTATTTAGTATAACCTCAACTTGTTGGTGTTCTTCATAATACATTTGTTAGAAGCTACTATTTAAACAACTATTTGATATGGTCTTCGTAATCTCATCGTTTAACCCTGTTACAAATATTATGATTTTAATAAAAAACTGAATTCCAGTTCTATGGAGTTATATTTTAATTGATAATAATTCTCAACAGAACCCTTCACACAAATTATAATTTGTAACATTGAAAACATTGTCAAAGTTCTTACCTTTATAGATCCTGCATTAAACTTCCCTTTTCTCAAAATTGTAAATTCTATAAATAAAATCTTCAGTCACAGTCATGACATAACGTTCAAACATATTTAGATTGACGATATTCAATATGCATTTTTACTACAGGTTACATTGATATACAATCTTTAATATGAAAAGGTAAGTTCTTGTCAAATATCTATAATTATCAAATCACTATATTCTGGTTATTCAACAGTCGTTATCCTTCCAAAAACAGCAAAATATAGCTTCTTTAAGACGAACGTGAAGTTATTCTTTGATTTAGATAAACAATGTAAAATGGCGATCCAGGAAGTTTAAAATAGTTGAACCTGAAAACTGAATATGAAAATAAGATAAGATGAGTTATAACATGGGTGATAATATAAAGAGAATCAAGTTTTATTTTGTGATATTTTTTGTCCTGATTTGTTTTCCAGTTATTCGTAAGTTAAATTTTCATTAATGGCGTTTACTTTGGATTCTTATGAACTTCTTAAAATAAATATTCCCTTCCTGGTCTATTCTTGGAAAGGAACTACAGATATTTCATGGAAACAACCGTTCTTAACGCCTTTCTATATATAAAGATAAACCTATAAGTAAATAGTAAAAGTTTCATTTTAGCTTTAATGTAATACACGTTATCATCTTTTTAACATCTTAAATGTTCAAATTCAATATATAGTAGCAGGTTATATATTCATTATATTATCATTATATCATTGGTATATCAATACATAATTTGTTTCAGGTAGTACTAATACAA